GCTCTGTAGATCTCTGTTGCAGTTGCATCCTTGAGCAGCAATACCTGCTTAAAAAAGTAACAAATATTGAAATAAACACCCATACACATTGTTCTCCTGCTGGTGGGCGGTGGAGTTATTTGTTAAGGGAAATCACCTTAGCAACAGTTGGCAGGTTGCCACTGTGCTTCATTATCATCTCGCGATGCTGATGCTCCCAGAGATCGTCCTTTCTCTTTTTTTTCCTGTCTGTCTTTAAGGCCACACCGTGAATGCAGCATCACCACTCATGTGCAAGTGCGCGTGCCTCCAGCCTCGTGACACGAGGCGGCAGCGTGTGCACGTGCGTCGTACTTGTATGTGAGAGCCGGTGCACGGTAAACGGGGAGGGCGCATTTTTGAGGGGAGAGAGGGGGGGTCTGCACGCGGCGCCGTATGTCACTTACTCGAGAACATCAGAGAAGATAGATGAAGCTAAAACGATTAAATGGGAGGACGGCTGTGCGTCACTGCAAAGGTGTCTGCCCTGGAAATGTGAATGGATTAAAGAGGAGACGTACGTGAATGACTGCATGAATGGAAGAACAATGAATGAACAGAATAAAACTTTTTCTCTTACTCTGAATTCCCACTCCTTTCACAGATAAAGTCATGGGATTCCCTGCAAAAAGTTTTCATGTCTGATCTGAATTTGTGGGAATAGTTTGTATGTTTGCAGCTTTAATTCTAGGATCTGGTAGGGATCACATTTATTGAGATATAGGGGAGAGTGGGGTAAGATGAGCCATTTTCCATATTTCAGATCACTACATCAAGGCGATCATAGTTTTGTCTCTATCTAGTGTATCTGCATATATTTCAAGATGTTGTGCACTCCTGCAAATCAACAGAATGAGTGTAAACATAACTGTCTTGATAATATAGCATGCCAAAAAAAGTAGTCTCCTATGGTCAACTTACCCCGTGTATGGGGTAAGTTGACCATAGGAGCGGGGTGAGTTGAGCCGTATCCCTACTAAAATGGTGGACTTTTATGCTAGGTTTTTGACCTCATGTTGTAGCTCATAGATACCACAATTGATGTATAAAACAAATTGAAAATATTCTTTTTTGGGTCTGAACACAATTCTAATAAAACTTATGACAGACTAACTTCACTTTCAAGAGTGAAAAATGTTTTTTTGTGGAAATAAATGTCTAACCCCTTCACCCATGTGCTTCTAACCTTCACAGACTCCATGAATTGATGCCCATCTCCTAAATATTTGGTCACATGTTCAATTTCTTTTACCATTTCCAAGCAACAGGGGATGGCTCAACTTACCCTTTGGCTTATCTTACCCCACTCTCCACTACAGGCTATAACATGTTTACACCTTCATATTTGTTTGTGTGAAGTTTCTTTGTTGAGAATGACTATAGGACAGTCAGTTAGTCTCTTATGGAGGGGTGGGGATGGCACTGACATCACTATAAGCCAGTTAGTGATCTTTTAGTTGCTTGCTTGTCATGCTAGTTAACTTGTAACAGATGTCCAAAATATGTGGAAGTTTACTCAATATTTTTTCAAGTTTGCTAATGGGCGGCAGTAGCTCAGGAGGTAGAGCGATCGTCCAATAACCGGGAGGTTGGCGGTTTGATTCCCCCTATCTGTAGTGTCCTTGGGCAAGACACTTAACCCACCTTGCTCCCAGTGTGTGTCCTCCACTGGTGTATGATTGTGAGTGTTGGGTGGTGGTGGTTGGAGTGGCCATAGGCGCAAACTGGCAGCCATGTCTCCGTCAGTTGTGACTACTAATGTAGTTTACCACCACCAAAGTGTGACTGTGTGAGCGAATGAATGATGTATTCAATGTAAAGCGCTTTGGGGGTCTCTGATAAAGTGCTATATGAAATCTGATGCATTATTATTATTATAAATTCAGCAAATCTATAGTTATGTATCATATGCTTGGCGATACTTTAGTAGACATGTAAAAGTTATTTCATAACAAAATAGAGCCACAAGTGCTCAGAGTTCAGAGTTCCAGGTTTGAGATCAATGTTATGGACAGGAAATGATGCCAAACAGAATCCAGACAGGCAGCATAAGACCCTGACACAAACTGGAGGGGTCAATAAAAACACAAAGACATCAACACATTACAAGATTCAGTGATTGATTTAAAAATAATGTAGTGATGCACCAGCAAAAAAAGTTATTGAGTCTTAACTTTTGCCGACTCTAAAAACCACAGGACTTAAACATTTTCATTCACAATCAAGTCAAAACAGAAGTACGGTTTTGTTGGCGTTCTTGACAGATGCAGAGAATAATAGCAGCACATGTCTTCTTTCCTGTAACTTTTCTGTTGCTAGTTTCTTCTCACTCAACCAGTAACCTCTAACACCTAGAACACCCATCTCCTTGCTTTGTGTCTTTCTTCACTTCAGTTGATGTCTCTGTCATTCAACTCTTTGTGCACCCTCAACATCCCAACATTAGGTCCTCTTTTTTTCCCCTGATGATGCCAAAAATCCCATTATCAACCCTTTAAAGTTTTGTGATTCCAAATAAATTGACATTATCCCCCCTGTGTGTTTTTTACTAATGGCATCAGAAACTACCAACAGGAAAAGGTGACATCATAAACTTAGTGATTTGTGTGATCTGGATGTCCCTTGGGTCACATTTGCTATTAAGAATTTATAGTCATTGTTATTGCCTTGACCATTTAGAATGTGGTATTTAACATTACTTTATGATGAATGAGAAATTGAGTAATAAATGTAGTTAACAGAGCTTTTTCCAATAAGAGCTGAAGAGGCGGCCCCAGAAGTAGAGGAACTTCTCCCTACAAACCAGTTGTGATCATATACTTGAAGTTTGTCATTAGGCACTGATGAATGACGGTGTCAGCTGATGTAACAAGGGGGAGCTTTTAGATTTAGGGGTTGAATTGCACACGTATGTACAAAAGCTACAGTCCCTAAAGTGGGCTCCAACCTGGGACCCTTTGCCACATGGCATAAGCCCTCTCTCATCCCAGTTTCTTACTCTATTAATCTTTTTTCCTCTAAATGAGAAGGGAAAACAACAGTGGAGGAACAAGTTTTAGCAACAGGTACAGTAGGATTTACAGTCCTAACCCGGGGACTTGTTGTCAAATTGGAGTTTCCAAGTCATTTTTTATCATACATTAGTTTTGCTCTAAATTTACAGAAGTAGAATTTGTGTGATCCAATCAGAACACAGAAAAACTTGGGTAGCTTTAAACCATAGACTGTATAAAGAATGGACAGTGTCTGCCTCCTTACTGGTTGAAGGCACTCAGAGAACAGCACCCTCTGGTGACGGGCTGCAGTTTCGGTCATAAATCCCACCTCTGCCAGCAAAGCTTATTGGGCTGTAGTCAAATTTCAGAAATTTGTTACACAGAATATACATTTTTCTGCCCCCTGATTGCGACATTGACATGCAGTTACTGTAAGACTGGTTTGTGTTTAGGTCCTCTTTTTTCTGTACAGCTCCGCTTTTAAAAGTTATTAGGGGGTTCATGTTTTCTTTGATTGACACTTGATACAGCCTATGGGTGTACAAGGATACGCTGTTTGAGCCGAGCATCATCACAGCGACTCTCGGCGACTCTCCCGCCGAATGCGTACAACGGTACTGCGCAAGTGCTAGGGTGTGTACAACGCTTCTGTGCAATGTTGGTTTCAGGAAATTGAGAAAAAATGCGGAATTACCAAGAGCTTTTTCGCTTCAAATCTGTATACTGGCAGAAGGCGGAACCAAGTTGTCCATAGTTTATACAGTCTATGCTTTAGACAGTAAACGGACAGTGGAGGCAAAGGGAGCTAAGGTTGCTCACCTGCTCCAGTCAGCCATGAAGTCAGCTGGAGCTTTGTTCCAAACCTTGAAAAACATTTTCTATAACTACAGAGGAAGCTTTCTTATAGAAATGTACACTTCAACGATCAATAAGGTGCATTATTTAAAAAATGCAACTTCAAAAGCATAGACTATAGTTATCTAAATTTTCACGATGATGTGTTTGTTCATTAATAATCTACAAACGAAGCAAAAAAGTGAGCTGGGATTAAGATTTGAATTAACCCTATAATGCCTGAAACCACAAATTATGGCCAGAAAATTCGAATTTTGGAGAACTGAAATGTTTATTTCACTTACTAATGAAAACCAAAAAAAATCAAAATGTCCTTAAAATTTAACAAATATATTTATTTATCTCATTTGATACATCAGATGTTTTTGGAAACTGATAAACCACATGAGGACATTTTTATCATTTATTAGACTGTGTTAAGGTGGGTTTTTTTTTTTTGTAATTTGTTGATCATATCGATTGATAGAAGTTTGATAAAAGTATGTATCAAATATGATACAAAAGGCATTGAAGGGTTAATATTTGTTATTTTTATGATAGATTTGGGAACTTTATGTCATAGAATTAAATAATGCATTAAAATGATTAGAAAATGAATGAATATGGTACAGAAATAACAGCAATAGTCAATTAGAGATGAGTCATTAACAGGATAATACTGCTATAAAGCGAAGGGTAATAAATCATTAACAGGTAAAACATTCAACACTATGACAAAGGGAAATTTCCTCGTGATTGTAATGTATGTGTGCGCTGAGATGGAGAAGGAAAACTACAAAAAAAAGACAGATGTGTGTAAATGTTTGTGTGTGTGTCCAGGGTTAGGGGGTGAGGAGGGGTTGGTCAGAAGATTATAGATTGATAGAAGGAAATTGTCGCCAAAAACAGCCCCCTACTACCCTCTCTACCCCAGCCCCCCCTCCTCTACTCCCCCCCAGCCTGGGGTTTGAATTAATGTGTTTCTATTTTTGGCTCTCCCGTGTTTCCAGGGGAAACCTAATGACGCAATGACGTCAATGCAGGTCACCAGCAAGAAGCAGACTGGAGGAATTGAGTGGCTTCCATTAGAGGTTTTGCAGCATTTTCCGGAGAGGAGGGGAGGAGGACAAAAATGGATTAAGATTAAGAAAAAGCACGGGAAATAAAATAAACATAGACGAGGAGTGAATGGGAGGCAATGCGACTGACGTCTGGGATGAAGAGAGAGGGATGGAGGGAGGGTGAGAGGGTGGAGGTGGAGGGGTGGTGGTGATGGTGGTGGTTAAGGGGGGTGAGGTGGTGGTGGTGGTGGAGTGGGGGGGTGGTGGAGGGGGGCCCTACTGCTGCATATCAATGGGTGCCGTTCAAATTCCCAGGGATTATTGGAGGGAAAAAAGGGGGGAAGAGAAAAATGATGCACGCTTTCCACGGATCCGTGATGACTGGGTGAGCCCACTCTATTTTTATTCTTCTTCTCTCTTTGCTTCTTAATGTTGAAGTGAGTGAAACAACAACCTGCCGTTCCGTTCTGTTCTGTTCCGTGCTGTTTTCGTGCTTGCACAGACTGTGTGTGTGTGTGTGTGTGTGTGTGTGTTACCTTATAGAGAGCCATTGAGAAATTTATCCCCGAGTTTTGACTTGACGGTGAAGCGTGAGAGTGGCCGGTGTGTTTTTCCTCCTCCGGGGGAGAAAACACGAATTAAAAACTCAAAGTGTCTTCGTGTTGACTTCGTGTTGAGTTGATTGCAAGTCTTCATCATTAACCGCAGCGGCGGACGTGCTCCGTCTACAGCCCCGGTACACCGAGGCATACAAATTCTGCATCCATCCGTATATACGAACCGCTGAAACACAATGTTCGCTGAGAAAACTGTTTATTCTGAAATTCTCGCTTTTATATTTGGAATACGAGACAAAATAAGCGGATGGAGGCGACACTTGCAAGCAGTGCTGTGTAATTGTAACGCCAATCACTCATGAGGTTACACTTTCGGACATTATTCGAACATTAAATGTGACTTTCATTAAGAGGTGTATGTGGAAAACAAAGCTGCTTCATCCTAATTCTCCCAAGGCTACTTTTCATAGCCGGGTGATGTGTGTCTGCGTGTATGTGAGAGTGTGAAGTGTGTTCGTGTGTGTGTGTGTTTGTGTTTGTGTGGGTTGGGGGGGGGCAGTCGTGCGCGTGGAACCCAGAAGAAGTAACGTTACTTCTTTTAGCGTAGAATAGCGAAGATTTAACCAGAAGCACGCGCAGCAGACACGAGCACATATTGCCCACTCGGCAGGCTTTCAAAAGGCAACAAGTGCCAATTCACGCAGGATCATTTCCACGCATACTCATGATTGTGTCCGTTGTTTTTCATTGTTTTTTTTTTTTTTTCATTTTCCTCTATTTTTCATTTGCACTTTCCCCCCCCTTTTCAACAATCTGCTCCCGTGCAGGGCGTTCACCACGCAGAGCTGAGGGGCTGCTTTCAGCACCACGGACAGCTCCCAGTGTATTTCAGGACCACGGACAGCGCTCCCCCTCCATCTATCCATCCATCCATCCATCCACCGTTTAAAAGGCCGATTAGCAGGTGCCACTCTCTTAACACTAGACTCATCCTCCTTGACTGTTTAGGTGGACCTCCCTCAGAAACTTCTGGAAGAATATGGAGCTTTTTCTGGTTAGGGGCCTAAAGAAAATGGCATTAGTGGAGCCCTAAATGACTCTGTTGTTCTTGATTTCTCACAATAATACATGATATTCCACAATTTGCAACAAAGTGAGGCAAATATGGGCAACGTTCGGAGGAAGATTAGTAGGGAATGACACTTTTTTTCCCCCTCCACATGTGACGCATGTGGTGAGGTAAGTGTGGCAGATGCCTACGTGTGCAGATGGTCCAGTCTGCTGGTCCCTATCCGCCCTGGGCTTGACGTAGCAGCCATATACAGGCATAAAGGCCTCTCATCACCCAGATGTGGTCGTGTGCAATGCATGCCTCCTCTAAAGCTCCTTTTTTTAGAGCTCCTCTTTTATGAACTTGTTCTTTACTGGAGCATGAAATTTCATGATGCAGGCCTGCGTGTTGAATGGATTTACACTTGTAGGTCTAGAGCTTGTGTTTGGTGCATGATTTTAATCTCACTGTTTTTTTTCTAGATTTCAAGAATTCACCTGGATTGTAGATTCAGTTTTTCAGATTCATGATTTATATTGAGAAATAGCTGCGAATATTACTCACAAAACATTTGTTGCTGAGGAGATTGCTGCAAGTTGTGATTACATATGTGGAATTCCACACTTTCCTCTCTTTAATAGCCTTCACTGCAAAAAAATGATGAACAATTTTACATTAATTACTGATCTATTTCCTAATACCTAGAATTGTAATAATATAAATCTTACAGCTTGTCCTAAACTCAAAGTTTAACTGTGTTTCTTTTTCACTACAACATCTATTTCTTTATGAACGCAAACAATGCAAGAGGTATGTGTCAATTCTGGCAACGTAAAGACAAGAAAACAGTTTAAACCTTAAAGGAAACATTCAAAGTGACAAAATCCACACTTAAAAAATAACAGCAACCAGAAATATATGGCTTAATCATACCATGTCTGTGTTCTTTCACATGCTGTTGAACTTTGTTTCATGTTTTTAGGAGAAAACTCAGTGTATCTTCCTCTCAACCTCTCAATCAGGCCTAGCTGAGGTGTTTCATGTGATTGGTCGTGCTTACTTTAACAGATATCCAAACGTTGGGTAATTGCTAAGGGTTTTCATGCTCTTGTCTGATGTCTTATGAATCCTTTTAGAGCCTTTATGTAGATATTATCCCTGTTTGCATATTTCACATCACATACAGGATCTATTCTTGGGGTCCTGTTTTCATTTAGTGTTCTGGCTTTGTCGTATGTTTCTACTATTAAAGTACTGACCAACCTACGTCTGCAAGCATTGGTGTACGCAGGACAAATAGTGAGTATGGAGAGTAAAAGCAGGCAGAGCACACACTATTGCTTTGAGTCCAACAACTAGTAATCGGATGTCTTCATGCAAGTATGGCCGACAAAGATTTCTACTTAGGCAACAAATCTGCGAGAGTTAGACAAGATCCTCGGCATTTAGATTTTAAGATTACCTGTAAAGCATCAGAAATGATCAATGGGAGCAACAAAAAAGGCATTTCCAAAGAGAATAGGAGTCCAATCCACTGGTGTAAGCCAGAGTGAAGCGTCCATGTGTCTACTATGAAACTGAGAACTAGCAGTGCTTAAAACAGGTGAACGGGCATTGTCCCAAGGTATGTAAAAAAACAAAACACGACAGAGTCCATATTGCAGACATAATCACGGCATGGAAATGGACATCTTGATTGCAAGTTGTTGATTACATTGGCTGCATTAACACTACCGAAGAGTTGGCATCAGCATCCAAAAGCCTAAGTATTTTGTTGCAAATGATTATCAGTGTGTCCAAAGATTGTGTGATCTCAGTGTGCTCTGCTGCTCAGGTTGAAGTTTCATCGTATTTGTCGGGTTTTTAAGATTTCTCCTGTTGCTCGGGATGCTGCAGTTTTCTGATTGGATGTTTGTACCAGAGGTTAAGCATAACCAAACACAAGAAGATTTTAGGCCCAATTCGCTCTCCAACAATCTAAGGGTGTGGCCTGATTTGAGGCTTGTCATATTTGTCCAAATACACTTCGAGCGTGTTGTGGCAATACGACTATTTTATAGTTCTCAACCGAGCTGAAGCCATCTAAACCTGGAATTGTAGATATCAAACATGTTGGATATTTATGATTCCAAGTTAAATACCTGCACTTCCTACCCAGAGGAGCAGATTGTAAAGTTACACCTATCAGACATTACATAGTCATCCTTAATTCATTGCTGTAAAGCTCATTAGCCGCACCTATACTGTCGTCTTTGTCAGAATTTCACCCCAGTTCTCTCTCCTTTTTGTTTTTCACTGCACAACAGATGAAATAGTTTGTCCTCCATGTTTGCTTGTCTTTGATCATGCATGTTTTTGTGAGATCTCATGTCTGTGGAATCACCACTGTGAAATCATAACCACAAACATTGAGAGGATCATGTAGCCTTTAAGATTTGTCCATTTTAGTGTTTTAAACTGGTTGGAACTCTCCTTTTCTGTGTAGTCTCCAACAATTTGAAAACGGTTCAGATCTAAAACTAAAAGTTGGAGTTTAATGTGTCAAATGTTCCTGGTAAAGGGCAGAAGAATCACACTCTTTTTCTGTTTAGTAATTTTGATTTGTAAGAATGATATCCAGAGGATTCATTGCAGTAATTGAGTATCAAACATTATAGTTGTTGTCATAAATCTATTTGATATGCAATTCAGGTGGTTAGGCTGGCAGAGGCATGTATTTTTTTTAAAGTTAAAGAACTCTTTGTAGTCTTTCACAGCATGAACTGACTGCAGTACTGCAGCTTCACTATAAAAATCCGTTCAGATATCTGGTTACAGGCACCCATTGGGGTCCTAATGTTGCTTTGGAGGATCCTAATCAGAGGAAATTTGATGTGTTGAGTCTTCTGAGTATTTAAAAAACTTGAAAGTCTCACCTCAGTTAGATTATGCACAGTGTTGAGTTAGTTGATGGTAAAAATTTTAGGGCCATGAGTGTTAAATTATTGGACTAACTTGCCAACATAGAAAAATAATTTATACCTCTCTATGTGCAAATGTGAAGGAAGATCCAAGTAAAGAGGAGGAACGTGTCCTCTTGGCAAGTACCAAACTCACATGGCATCTTGTGAAAGGACAACGTAAACAGTAGAGTAAATAGTAAAATAATTGCATGCAGTGGGTTTTAAGCACATTTTCTTTCGTTTCCAGTTTAATGTAAAAGGTTGGGATGAGAATGAGGAAACTGGAACTTCAAGGATTGAATGCAAGATAATCTGAAAATCGTCAACTGGCTGATCTGATCCTTTTTTAGGATAATATTCACTTTTTCTCTCTCGGTTTTTAAGCGCTACAACTCATTAGATGTGCTTCTGACAGTGACAGGCATTTGTTTTACCTCCAACCACTTCTGATTTCTTTGTATTAAGACCAAATATGAACTATGAGTCTATGTTTTTAATTGAGGAAGGGCTATCAAGATTCAGGATTGTCAAAGATCACAATATTAAGCAAAATGCAGCTTTAATGCTGGATGGGGATCTCTTTCTGCCAGTTCTGCATGATCAAATGTCCTCCTGGGAACCAAATTTTCATTAAGACCAAAACTAGAAAAAAAATACATTTGTGATATAAAGGGGCTTAAATATTTGACTAGAATTCTATACAATAAGACCTTTTTACAAGCTTTAACAAAGTCTTTATCACAACCTTAATTGAGCCTAAAGTAAGCCTTTATTGCTTCCTAAACTTAATCTGAACAGTCTTTATTACACCCTGAATTAAACCTTACTGAAGCCTTATCAAACACCTGTTTTGAAGCCTTATTTACATTTTTAACAAAGCCATAAGTGAGCCTTTTTACACCCTAATTAAACTTCTACTAAACATATTCCAGCTCCTACCATTACCTTACTCGGCCTTCACTGCAACCTTGCAAAGCTTTAACTGAGAATCTTTTACATTCTCTACTTAACCTTAACTAACTTGTTACACTCTCTACAAAGCCTTTATTACACCATTCACTAAGCCTTAACCTTCGTGAAGCCTTAACTAAACCTTTACTCAGTCTAATTTAGCCTTAACTAAGCATTTATAACACTCTTGGCCATTTCTTAACCAAGCATTCATTAGATTCTTCTCCATCCACAAACTCAGCTTAAACTAAGTTCTTATTAGACCAAAAACTGACCTGAACACAGCTTCAACTATATTCTTTACCTAACCTTATTACCAAAGCCTTGATAACACTGTTAATGAAGTCATTATAAGACCCTTGACTAAGCCCTACCAACCCATCACTGAGTCTACCTAAGCTTCGATTTGGTTTCAGATGCTATGACATCCCAACTAAGCCTTAACTTGGTTCTTTACACTCTTTACTTAACCCTTACCCAAGCCATAACAAAGCCTTGATTACATAACATGATCATTATATCCTTTACGAAGCCTTAAATTCCCTTTAAATTACCTTTATTACACTCTTAACTAAGCCTGAACTAAGTCTTTACTAAGCCTTTCTACACCCATGACTAAACCTTCACAAAACATTTGTTACACCCTTCTATTAGCCTTTTCTAATCCTTCCTCTGACCCTCAACTACACCTAAACTAAACCTTTGTTACAATCTTAACTGAGCATTAATTATACCTTTGACTCATCCTTAACTAAACCATTGTAACACCCCTGACCAAGTCTAACTTAGCCTTTATCAAACCTGTATCTTTGCCTTAACCAACCCTTTACTAAGTTTTTCACACACCCTGCGCACACACACACTTCGCTTTTACTAAACCTTTACAACATCCTCATTAATGCCTTAGCCAAACATTTATAAAATCCTTTACTTTGCCTGAATTACACCCTTTTAACCATTCCTTTACCCCGCCCCTAACCAAGCCTTTACTAACCTAAACTAAGTGACTTTTATTCTTTCCCAACTAACCACACTTCATTTCAAAGTTAAAACATTCTTTAACAAAGATGATTTTGGTTTTTGTCCACAAACTTTTGAGAGAAACTGCATTCTTTGTCTTCGTTTTATGATCTTCATTCTGATAAAGTGCTGCTGTAGTGTCTGCTTCTGCTTTGTAAGTTGAACTTTTAAAAGTCTTCAAGCTGTTGCTCATATGTTGTTCACATGGCCTTTTCATCAGAAAACACAAGGAATTTATCATCCCTTTTTCCAACAAGAACTCCTTCTGATCCAAGTGTTGAGTCATTTCGTCCCAGTGGGGCCATTTTTCCTATTCGAATCTGATTCAAAGTGGTTCTGTAAATCAAAATGTTTTAGCAAGAGATTTCCGGGGAGGCAACAAGTTTCAGCTCTTAATATGTTACTTTTACCAATAAGACTGTAGCATATTCTTCAGGACTAAAAGCATTTTATCCTACTGTCATCTTCTGCCATAAACAGCTATATAAATCAGCTGTTGATCTGACTAATAGATCATATTTCTCTAATGTTAAATTTAAAACTGATCTTCTTCTTCTTCTTCTTCTTCTTCTTCTTCTTCTTCTTCTTCTTCTTCTTCTTCTTCTTCTTCTTCTTCTTCTTCTTCTTCTTCTTCTTCTTCTTCTCTACTTAGTTGAGGAATGTCCTGATGTCTCCTTTTTTCCCTTTCACAGATGCTGAGAACATCCCCCCACGATGATCATGACGCACTTTTGTCCTTTGTGGGTCTTTTTGCGGTCTGGGCTTGCTGTTCCAAAGGCAGTAGCCAGGAAGCCCTTACCCCAAAAAGTATCTGTACTGGATCCTGGCATCAGGACTAGACGTCTTGTTTGGTTCTCCCTCCTGAATCAGTAAGTATCTCTCATCAATACACTGTTTTTAGTGTTGAATATCTATTATTCTGCTAAATGTTTGATCACTGGACAGAAGTTTGCAGTGGTTCCTTACATAGGAAGCATTTAAGAGGTGTTAATAGAAGATGTGGTTGGAAAAAGTCTTAATCAGAGCATCAGAGACCTTCAGAAAAATCCAAAGAATGTGAAATCAGCAAGAAAAAGACAGCAGCTTTACTAACCCTGATGTGAAAGACAGACTTCATAGGGTTAAGCTGATGTGGAAATAAGTTATTGAAAAATGTGTTCAAGTTTTTTTACTAATCACTTAACTAAAGAGAAAATCAAACTACCTTTGTGGGCTTTAAAAAATGTCTCTTTTCAATTTAAAGTGTACAAAAAAGCCATCCATATGCTATATTTCCAATAGCACATATTTGTCCAAACCTTTAAGTACAAATCAGTGTATTTTAAGCATTCTGAGGCCAAAACATCATGTTTAATTTACTGGTTTATAAGTTTTTTATGTTATGTGATGTTTTTTATCCGCATGGGTTTAGGAAACATTCAAATGCATCTTCAAATTTGTCTCTCTACCTGCATCAGCTTGCGGATTGTGTTGTACAGACTGAGTGATTTTCCAACATCCTAATTTTATAAATGTTTGATTGTGAAGAATTGTTTCCCTGTTTGATCATTTTCACATCAAACATCACAGGAGGACATTTCTCTCTAACTTCAAATTTTTACTCAACAACACCATTAATTTAATTATTCTTTTTATTTCAAAGTTATAGACAGTATGCCTTTACTTGACGTCTTTGTCGTAAACAGTGATTTTGAGAATATAGTTATCAATAGGATGTGACTAACCTTTAGAAATGACATAAAAAGGATGTGGAGTGGACACTGGAGAAACAAACTGAAGGAAAATGAGCATGTAGCTCTGAGCCTTTGACGCACTGAGTGTTACATAAACGTCATTATTTATCCAAACCCCTGAGCCTTCACTATGTGGTTTCTACGTCACAACCCCAGGCCCTGTATATGTGTGTGTGTGTGTGTGTGTGTGTGTGTGTGTGTGTGTGTGTGAGTGTGTGTGTGCTGACAAGGACACTTCACTTACACTAACCACATGACTGCACAGCTTAGGAAATGTCTGCCTACGTGTGTGTGTGTGTGTGTGTGTGTGTGTGTGTGTGTGTGTGTGTGTGTGTGTGTGTGTGTGTGTGTGTGTGTGTGTACTGTACGCATTACAGTGGGCCAACGCAAACAAATGTGTTTGATATGATATTATGCAGATGCTTGGCTTGGCTCCGCTCATATCCTTTTACTCTGATACTTCTCTTCGCAGCAGTGTTATGACTTATTAAACAAATATGAAATAAAGTTTATATAACACATTTTAGAGTCTTGTCTGTGTTTTATGTGAATATTAACTTTATTTTATGCAGTTCTTGGAGTGTGTATGTGTGTGTGCAGTCGTAAGTGTATTTATTAACTTAAGAATATCACTGGATGTTACTTTACACCAAAACAGGCATTAAAACGTATCAGTAACACTGTATATTTAACTCCTTGTAATAAGTGTTAATAAATAGCTAATAAGCCACTTAAAATACCTCGTAAAGTGCTTAAAATATGTGAATAAATGTCAATAAAAGTATGTTAAACTTATTGCAAAAACTAAATGCTTATCAACGTTAATAAAGCAGTGAGCTTCTATTAGTTTCATGGTTAACATTTGTTATATATTGAATATTATAACATTAATATTTTGAATTTCCCTCTGTGATTAATAAAGTATTTATCTATCATTTATTATTGCTTATAAACTTCTCTTTAAGCACTCACTGAATGTTTTTTTTATTAAAAAGATCATTTATTAAATTTGATGAGATGTATTTTGACATGAACAAGACTATAAAATGTTAAGATTAGTAATAAATCATTTATCATGTACTTATTAACAGCTAGTACGAAATCACAATGAGGCATCCTTTGTGGAAATAAATCATCATCATGTAAGTTAGAGCCTGTCTGCTTGAGGTGACAAATAACTACACAATACATGTGTTAAGTCTGCTTTTATTAATACTATTTAAAACTCATTAATGTTCATAAGCATCTTTTAAGGTCTTAGTTGTGGCTTATTAACAATTAATTGAAGCGTATAACAAGAACCTTAGTTTAAAGTATTACCAGTTTATCTAACTCTCTAAATATCTTTTCAAGAATTGCTTTGCATGTATTTATTGGGAAGACTGAGGAATGAATCCTCTTTAAAATAAAGTACCACTGTCTTCGTGTTTTACAGTCCAACATTAGAGCCAACTAATCCCAGGCTAAATCAGAGTAATACAAGTGAAACATTTTCCGGTACACCGGGCCTTTGCATTCATTAATTGACCTCACAAATCTCAGCCTGACCTTCCGACTGGAGCTTTAGAGATTCCCGGTGAAGTCACAGCAGCGGCCCACAGTTTGTGTGTCACACACAGCCGGGGGAAATGGGGCAGAGCTTCATCCATGTCATCAGAGAGGGACGAGGGGATGGTGGGTGCACATTAGCTCCTCTCTCACTGGAAGGGAAGTAAATTACATTTGTAACCACGGGCAAGGGACAACAAAAAGGATCTTTTTGGAGTTTTATATAACTTTAACATTTTTCCATTAGATGTCTGTGGCTTTAGGCGATCTAATATAGTAATAAGAGAAAACTAAATCTCAGTGACACTTTTGGTTTTAAATTTGGGCTTCCCTTCCCTGTTCAGAAGCCTATCAACCAAAAGACAAAATTGGCTAAAGAAATTAATAGAAGTGAAAAGATTAAATTTAAAGCTGCATGATACTATGTTGCAGTGTTTTCATTATTGCAATGGATTAAAAAACAGCTAATTAAACCATATGGTTGTTTTTATGTACACATATATTATTAAATTAAACAAACACGTCATATAATTTGTGGTCTTAGGCCTTTTTTCCTCCAACAAAAGTAAACTACCCTTTTATTTTTTGCACACCTGATTCAACCTTCTATCTGCAAATCTGACCTCTGGCCTGCATGACATCCAAAATGGCGTTTTTCTCATCACTAAATTCTCTGCTGTTAATCTGGGGTCAGCTGACTACACCAAATAAGGCACGGCCATGATACAGAGGCCTCCATCATGATCTCAGTTTGAAAGGACTAGTTGTATACTTGACATAACTCCCAGATTTTTTGCGAAGAATCAAGATTTTTATGATTGCAAATGTTGTGTCTGGTAAATTTGCAGGTTATTGTGCAGCGCTGGTTGTTATAAATGAATCAACTTTTAACTTAAAACCTCAGTAAAGTACAGATTTGAAGCTCTGCTGTTGCTCAAAAATATGACCTTAGATTTATGAATTCTCGTTTGCTCTTAAAAGGCTCTGAACAGGAAAGAAAGACTGTAACACAGTGTTGTGACAAGGCTCCACTCACCCTGGCAGACTGCTCCTCGGTTAAATTTCTGGGTGAGTGCAGCTCTCCAGAGGACACTTTGGGAACTGCAACCAAAGACAATAACAGTTCAGCTCCATCGTCAAGACAAACATGAGGAGGTACACAAGAAAAATACAGATTACAACCCAGCTGGAGACAGAACAGATCTCCAGCTGATGTTCTTAATCAAATGGGGAAACTATCGGGTAGTCACCTCCCCTTGACGTATTTACACAGTTACAGTAAAAAATGCTACCCCCTTTGGCGTAACAAAATATGCTGTCAGAGGACATGCCTGCTTCTTTTGGCTTTAACAGATCTGGTCTGTGTTTTGATTTTCAGGCTCTATGTTTTTGCCAAGACATGTCAAGCATTTTACTTCATCCCATCAAGATGATTGGATTTAATTGCCAGAAGCCAACTCATGAAGCAGATTTGATGTTACTTGAGTGGATTCAGCAAAAAAAATAAATCTCTTTCCAGTCAGTCAGTCAGGCTGCTGGCAGGACTGGCTACAATTATGTGTTTTTTTAACGCAGGTTACTGGAGAAAATGGAAAATGAGGAATTAAACATGTCAAACTTTCTGGTAGTGTTTTTCAGAGAAACCACGTGTTTTGATGAAATAATTTTTTTTTTAATCACGTTTAGTCATTTATCATCAGCCACTTTACTGTACAAACAATAATTCAATCAAATACAAGACAGCTGCACATCATCACTAATGCAAAGCTCAAAGGGAAAACTCTGACTGAGTTTATCCTCTACAGAGTTACTTAAACACAGAGATGGACAGATGATACCAAAGCTACGATCTTTAATTTCTTATATAGACTAAAACTATGAATACACAGTGGTGTATAGTGCTGCAGACCATTATTAAGAGGACTGCCTTTAGTGTTACAAGCCACCAGATGTCACTGTGCCTGCCAAGTTTGAAGCTATTATTTGAGAAGCCACACAGCTTCATAAGGCTTTATCTGCTCATCAATAATTAAACACAATATTATTCTTTATAGTCTGTAAAAAATTTTTCTCTACTTTGGATCTCTGATTTTAAAAACTGTTTTTTTTTTTGTTTGTTTTTTTTTGGGGGGGGGGAGCAGAAAAGGAGAAATACATTTATATAGGGTGTTAATGTCAGCATGCCAGTAGCACTGCTAAGGTTCTGATATGTAGCAAGTAGTTTTATTAGGTTAATAGTCTAGCCTTTGTGTATTCTTCCTTTGCTAATTGGAGCTAAAATTAAAGAATACTAGCATGGAAATAATTGGGTTTTTGCAAGTTCTTAGTCAGAGGCAATTTATAAATAAATGTATAAAATAAAAGTAAATAAGTCAGCAACTCAGACTCAGGAAAATAAAAGTTTGCTCTCAGTCAAAAAGTAAGCTACTCAATGCATCCAGACAGGAAGTCAGTGCGAGAAGGTTAAGAGTCAAAAATGTTGACATCAAAATGCTAGTGACAGTTTTAAACTTCATGTTCAACAAGTAAATCAACAAGGTTTGAAATTCCAGTTAAGCTTAACTAAATGGTCAGCTGTTAAGAAATGCCTTTAGCAAAGCAGGTATGTGGTCATTCACCTATTGGCTGTATTAAAAAAGTTTAAGTCTTCACAACTTAGGCAGAAAAGTAATCTTGAGATAGGCCAGCTTAGCTAATAAAATGAGCAAAATACATGGTCAGAAATAAAGCTAAAAGATGCTACATTCCCAAAATGCTGGTATCATAATGCTACAACTGTAGCTTTAACAGTCAGCAAGTGATTATCAAGTCATTACCAGGCTCTTTTCTTTGTCTAGCCTGTTAGCATGCTATCTTTGTCACTACAAACACAGAACATTTGAAGTTTTGCTTTAAATAATTAGGTCCAAACAAGATTATTATCATTCAAGCCAAAAAAAAGTGCAAGAAAAACTTAAACAGCTGTCAGTGTGTTTTAATCACTACAGGCTTGTTAGATTTGTTATATACTGGTTAAGATAAAATTGTCCAAAACACAATAAAATAAAGTGGAGTAAAAAAAAGATATCTATGATAAACATTGTGGAGATCAAACCTCCAGATGTTTTTTGCTTGAAACAAATTTGGGTGATAAATTATCCTAAACTGAATCTGTCTGTCTGAATCCGTCTGTAATGTCTGATCCGTTGGAGGTTTTACGTACATTGTCCAATCATCCTCATTGCTTAGTCATGAGGACTAAACCCCAACTATTTCCTGTGCAGACGAGTCATCGCCTACATTATTCGTTCCCTTGAACAGTGGCCCACAGAAGACTGTTTACAACCAGACTGGGGGGGTCAGATGGTGCCAAAAGAAAGTGGGGGAAGGGGGTCAAACTGAGTTGGCCTGTTGGGAAGGCTGCTTTTTACTGGAAATGACCAAAGCCGCCATTCCAATAAGTTCTCCTCCCCCTTTTTGTCTCTCTGTAGCCTACCAGAGATAAAGTAGTCCCATTTGCCCTGTCGTTCACAAAAGTGTATAAAAACAATGGATGATTTGATAACCAGAACTACCATACATGATTATCACACTCCCGAAGAAACAATCGGGATTAATCATTAGGAATCTTAAACTCACTAATTACTGAAGAGTCTAAGCTAGAGCTGAGCTGAATTGAGAGATTGTGGATATTATTGTTATTATTATTATTATTATCATTATTATTATTATTATTATCATTATTTGTTAAGAACTATTTGCTATATGAGTACCCAAGTAAGTACCCAAGTTAGCTGCCAAGCTAACAAAGAGTAAACTAGACTGCACATTCAGGTCAAGTGCAAAGCTAACCATATGTTAGCTAGTCTGCGTTTTAAGTTGGTTTACATGCCGACAAAAGGTTAGATAAAATATTATAAGATTTGCTTTTTACCTGTAGAACAGGTAAACAAAGCTAAAAACATGCTAGCTAGACAAAGCTATGTAGTAGTTAAGGGTATAGAGTAGGTCAGATTAGGTGTCAAGCTATATGTGTTAGCGAGCAATACCATGTGTTTCCAAATTAGAAAACTTGCTGACAACATGTCAATTGAATGCTTCAGATTGGAAATAGAGGTTATAACATGTTAGGTAGACCACAAGTATTTAGGCTGGGTATCTAGGACAAAATCTGTGAGCAATATTAGGAATATTAAGATTAAGGAAAGAACTAACAACATATTAGCTATACTGTATTAAAGTGAGAACAGCAAAAATACTGTGAGCTATTGCTAGGTTGAAAATCATAAAAGGCCTCAATCTTAAGTCAAAAAAGTAAAATTTCACTGCTTAACACCCATTAAAGAAAAGGGACACTTGACTTGAGCTAATTGCTAAAGTAATGTACTCTCTTGGTCACTATGTGATGAGGCTGCTGTTCTCACTCGTTGAAAGAACTAATAGAGAACCCCGTAAAGGAACATTTCTGCAGTGTGCATTACTCTGTCCTACACATACGGTCAACCCAGAGCCTAAACATGCTAAAGCCTCAGGCACTTGAAAAACACACCACCGTTTAAGATCTGCTTGTTTGCCATAATTATATTACTTGGTTGTACTCTGTCTTTGACAAAAAATGGTTCAAAGGGGCACAAATACAGAAAAAGGAGCTCCTTATTTCATGCGTATATATTAAAAAAACTGCTGGAAAAGACACACATAAAGAAAATCCATAGATATTTTAAGACAGAAGCCAAATTACAACTCAGTTCTTCTTTTCTCAATCATATCATATGACATTATACGTGGCACAAACCACATTCTTGTATGTAATTTCAATCATGATTCAAGTGAAATTCATTTTTTCTAAAGATTTTTTCCCTCTTTTTATACATTCATGCATTCATGATTATAGAGCACATTGATATTAGAACATTTGCACCACGAGGCCTTTTCAAGTTAAAATTCAAACAAATTTTTCCATTCCAGTTTATCTCACTAAATGAAGAGTGAAATTATGAAAACTTGGAGCTCTTTGCTAAGCTGACCTTTACAGGCCATGCTCGGATTTAAATAGAGGAGGAGGGAGATAGGGAATGGACCCTGCACATCAAGAGTTGGCTATTTAAACTGGGGGAAACCTACGAGACGCATGGCATCTCTCTGTCATTTAGTGTTACAGGATCACAGTCTTAAGCCAAAAAAAATCAGGTAAAAATAAAAGGATATAACAGAGTAAAGAGGAAGATGTAATTCTGAAGATGTAATATTAGAATATTATCTGTTTTTTAATAATTGAAGAAAATTAGTAAAATTTTAAATGCAAAATGCATGTGTTTATGCAACTGAATAGGAAAACTTTATTTTAAAAGCTATGGAGCATAATCGTGAAATTTGTAATTTCATCCAGTTTTTATGCTTATTTTTTGTTTTTAGGATGCACTTTCTTCAAGCCTTTCTCTTTGTCGCAATTGCCGTGGTTCCCGGGTGTTCAAGCCTTCCCAGAAAAGAAGAATCAGTCACAAATACAGTGAACAGTTTAATTGATATAGCTCAGATAACCCTGATGCATATTAAAAAACTAAGGACAGAGGTATGACAAAAAAATCAGTGTTTTCAGAAAAATGTAGGTTTTCTTTTCAGGCTTATTTTGAAACCGGCAAATTTTATCATGTACCTGCCTGGACACAAGTTTTATTATAAGCAAAAAAAGGAAATATATTCATGTCAAACTAACATGAAGGCATACATTCTGATTTAGTTGTAACTGGAAATATACTGATACACACTTACTTGTTTTTCTTGTCCTTAGTTGCCGCCGGGTCCACGGATAGAAGCTCTCAGCCCCCCCTCCATTCAGGGACTAACCAGCATCAGTCATGACCTGGGACTCCTATCTAATGAGCTGCAGAACCCCTTCACAGAGCTGTTCAGTCAGATCCAGGCTGATGTCTCCAGTTTGGAGGGACTGGTGCGACACCTCGCTCAAACAATGGACTGTCCCATCCAGACCAGACCCCAAGGACACGCTGGAGACATGCTGTTCCCCGACACCCAGGTCTACTTGCTTCTGATGAAGGTGCAGCTCTACCTGGACACATTTCTTCACCAAAAGGAAAAACTCAAGGTCTGCTGAAGAATTAGATCATACTTTGATCACACATATGCCAAATACTGCCAGAGTATCCAGACAAAATACTGATACTTATTTGCACAAAAGCTGAATGTACTCAACGGTGTAGCTTGTTTTTGCACTATTTTACATTTTATTTACAGGACTTGCATGAAAGAAAACGCACAAAATCATGAACTAAAGCTGCAATGCACTATTTTTGGTGCTTCAAACTTTTACATAAATTGCAAGTGATATTTGTAGTTTGTTTTGACAGACACTTTTGCTGAAGTTCTAAAGCTATTTGAAATGAAGCTATAATTATTATCAAAGTTTGAATTTTATATTAAAAGAATGACACTGAAGAGTTGAGAAAGCTTTCTTGTTTGGTTTACAATTTAAAACATGTTTTTGATGTTGCACTAATGGTGTTCGATCATGTGGTACTGGAAAGTTTTTAATCCATGAAAGAGTGAAGTTGCTTGATCGATCGAAGTATTTTATGAAACAGCAACAGTACTTGCAAAAATTATGTTTGATTGTTATGGTGGAAGCTAATGTGTTTGTTTGCATTAAAGTTTTAAAGTAATATTTGTTGGTTGTGCAATTTCTAAAAGGTAACTAATTGACAACTTTAAATTAGACTTTAAAGGCCTATTTATACAATAAACCAACTACATTTGTGTGTCATTCAATAAAGATTTTGAATTAATATTACAATGTTTTAATTCTAAAATAAAAAGTTTTGATATTATATTTACTGATTTCACTTAATTTCAGTCTTTAATATCACTGAAGTCATAAGTTTAGGATTTTTGTCAGACATAAAAAACCTGCCGGTATTGAAGTCATATGTACTTGAGAGAGTAAAAAGAAATATGAGAAGGTTTAACTTTAAAATATACAAAATAAGATTTAAGTAATTTTAATGGAGACACCATATATTTAAAGTAATTTAATAATAAAGTAACTGTTGAGTTGAGAAAGTTGAGTTTGATGTGAAGGATCTTGGTCACTTAGAATTAGTCGGACATTTATGGGTATGAAATTTGTCTTGTTTTTCACTTTTGTCTGTATCAGACCATAGTTTGAATATTTAAGACCACACAAACAGGGGTGCTGAAGGTATGTCTTCATTTTATATAATTTAGGTTAAGCACGGACACTTTTTTTCTTATTGTTTTGTTTATAAATGATACATTTTTAAATTGAAAATTACAAAAATGCATCAATATGCTGCCCCCTTCCCTCCCTGTTTCACTCTTTCCCATGCTTCTAAGTAAAAACAATAGATTGTTTCATGATGATCCAGAAAAAAACTAAAAACACATGTAACAAACACCTAATGAATCACACCAGCTCAAAGGATCACTGAGTAACGGCACATGAATGTATTTGCACTCTAACCTTTAGAAACACAAACAGAACCAGGTAATGCATCATGGTACATCGAACGCCTCATTTTCCATGTGTTTGACTCATAGAGGAGAGCGATTCATCCACAGCTGCTTAGTTTTCTGTGCTGTACATTGTAAAACTCTTAAAAGAAAGTAGTTTGTAAGTGAAGGGATAGGAATTAAACTCTGATAACCAATCATCCACATGTCTTTAAGATAACTGTTATCACAAATCAGTCATTTGTTTGTTAAGGAGCAAAAACTTTAAATATACTCGACATCACCCAGCACTCAGTGACCTCCAATTTAGATAAGGGTGACACAAAGGAGCCAAGGCTGAAAATGTAAACATAAGAAATAACAACAAATGAATAACTAAATTACTTAAAACCTTATCTAAAATTGTTCACAGCTGATTAGAAAAATTATACAAAGACATCAAAAACGTAAAAGAAGGGATTAACATTCGCCAAGACTGTATAGGATTAAACCTAATGAGACATTAAACATTCAACAAACAATATACCTTGAATACAACATTTGATGGCTTCTGGATGGAGGGTGTTCCCATGCAGCGTGGCCCATGATTCATTACCTCAGGCTTTGTTCAGGAGTGGACAAAGGGAAGAGAAAGAAGTCTGTAATCGGAGAAACAAAAAAGGAGGAAATCTTGTGCTTTCCGCTGAGTGACTCTGAATAAAGACCTTATTTTGCTCATAGGCTTCGACTTGATTCAAATTTCACCATGTTTAACTTAGTCCATAAAAAAGAGAAAGGATGAGGTATAAGTGAGAGATAAGTAGGTCTACGCATGTTTGCGTGACTTTGTTTTCATACCAGTGTATTGCTTTCCCAGTGGTATTTAGATTTAACAAATTGTTTTGGTTAAAGGACATAGAAAATAACAAAACAAAAAAGGAGTTCTGCTATGGGCCACATCTTTAATACAACCTCAATACTGGGTGTGTGGATAGAAACAAATCTTATTTTATACCAAGTTGAAATACAATGACATTATAAGTATAGATGGCATTTTGGTGTTGCTAATATTTTTTAAAAAGCAGACCAACGGCTAAAACCGAGTTTATGGTTTCAATAATACACATTTAGTCTTTCTAGATGCTCCAAGTAGAAAAATTGGAGTCTTTAAACACACCTTAATTATTTTCACTTTTTGGTAAGAGATTATTAGTCATACTTAAAAATATTTTTCATTATTGTTTTATACAATAGTTCCCATTTTATACTGGGCTTAGTTTGGAGTTTCACCTCTGTTGCTTAAGGGTGAAACTAACAAATATGCCAGCAGATGGTGCCATTTTGTAACAACACTAAACACCCTAAAATAATAAACAGTTTGCACACAAGACGGTTCCTGGGGGCTGCTTCGTTTTTTTCACAAACACGGGGGAATAATTTCCCCATGTTTGTGGAAAAAAAATACTTTCCCCGTTTTGCCCCACTCACATGTTTCTCTGTCTGCCATGTTTACTTCCTGCTCAATTTGGTTCCCTATTTTATGCATACTGAAACAGCTTTCTTCCTCACCTGTTCACCCTCAATACATTTGTGCATAACTTCTCAAACAAAGAGAAAAGACGTTTTGGAATTATCATTGGAGGTCTTAAAATTTTATTTTTCAGAAGCCTCTGTTTTACTAGAGAGTTCTAGTATCTCGTGCAAAACACTTACTAACATTTCCTGTGCAAAACAAGCATCACAGGATAGTACTTCCGCAGTAATTGAATAAATAAATTTAACTTAACTTAAACCATAATGTTGGTTACAATCAAAACAAGGCAAATAAATAATGCATAAAAGGAGAGAAAGTCTGAGTTAAATTACATTGTTCTAAATTCAAAAGTTGTGGGTTTAAATAATCAATGTTTTTCTCTTCAAAACGAACATATAAGTTAACAATTCAGTGCAACTTGGCTTTCACGCCTTTAAAAATTTACATTTTTGCTTTGATGGACAAAGTTTTCAGTGAATTCAAGTATTTTTGTAGCGTAGATAAGTAGTCTTCAGGGTGACATCGCATATGGGCTGCATGTACGGACTCCTTCCACTTCTTGCTCTCCACAGTCACACCCCTCTTCCTCCAGAGGTTGATACAGTTTTCCATGGCGACCGGGTTGCATAGGGCGTCATTCTCACTGAAGAAGAAGAGGGCCGGTGCGGTAATCGGGCTGTTGTGGAAAACTTTGATGCTGCTGTGGTAGAAGTCTGCTGTGTGGCTTTTGAAGAGCCAGAAGTAGAGCATGGCGGCATTTTTGATGAGGCGCTCTAAACGTGGCACCAAAGTTTTGCCAAGACCTGAATGACGACAAAACATGGAGTAAATCAAGAGATATCACACCAGAAGGAGTGATCTTTTACACTTGTTGCCACACTTCATAAAGCGGATGATATACAAAAAAGGAGCAGCTGTTTGCAGCTCTCTGAGAGATAATTAGACATGTCTAGACAAGCGACATCAATCCAAGCCTGTGCCTCTTTGTGGCACGAGTCAATTGAACATTTAAGCTCCTTTCACACCGGGAGCATTTTTTTTCGTGCGATTATTTTGGACGTCAATATTTTTTTTCGAACCCGTATCCTGTCAATACAAGCCTTCACATAAGCGACGTTTTCCCGTCCTGCGATAGTGCGGCATTTTTTTTTCCGCATCTTGTCTCATACAAACAGTCTGAACTATCTGCTGAATAAGATTTAATGACTTTGAGTCTGCTACTCTTACCTAATACTTCTTGGTTGAAAAGTTCACATATTTAGACTGTCCTTTTTTCCATTTTCAGTGTTTTTGAGAGAACTGTTTCAACTTTGGAACTATTGTTCCCATTTTAAAATGCAGGATATACAAACTATCTGACAGCCGTGAATTTAATAAGTGATGCTTTGACTAAATCCACAGAGAGCCCCATTTTTATTTATTCAGCACTTTAGATCTTTTTTCTTTCAAATTAAAATCAGAAGTAGAATCATGCAAAATTAGCTTTCAACATGATAATCATTATATGAAGTAACCATAGAAGAAGAAAAGTATTACTGAGAAAAATATGTTGAAATGCTGCTGTGTTTAACAGTAAATCAAAAGGTTGATCACAGATCTGCAACAATCACTTTAAGTCATTTTAAATAGAAAGCATAATTGGCAGCTACGTGAAAAATAGAGTTATTATAAAATGGATATATCCTTGATTAATATTCTAACAAAGATTTTCATAGCTCCACATTCTCCAGATTCTTTTATGTGACACAATATTTGACATCTCTGAATTTGTGACTTACACAAAATTTGTGTGGACATCAATTTGAGTTGAATAATTTTGAAAAGTTTTCCAACATTAATGTCAAGAAGGAAAGTAACGTTTAGATTAAATTATGTAAATGCTAGAAAATTACATTTCTTGAATACTTATTGCAGTCATTCATTAGGAAAAATGCCAGTGTACTGGTTGGTGCTTTTGATCGGGTGCTTTTTTCCTTTTACTCAAATATACTGAAAAGGTTGAATTTTCTGACATGTTTCAATCTAACAACATCTGCAATTGGAAACACTGACATCAGAAACTGGTATGGGCATTTCTAGCTATTTTGGAACATAATGTGCATAAAAAGTTATTCAAAAAACATAAAAGAGATAAAACAAATACTTAATAATGAAATGAGAAGTACGGTACTGATTAAAAGCAAGCTGCAACAAACAATCTCTGGACTCTGGACAAACTGGGGCGGTGGGTCAGCTGGCTGATGAATTATTTAAAGCTCTGACACACACAGATACAAAAGTAACTCGAGCTGGATCACTGTCACTCACCTACTGCCATGTGCTCAAGAGTCCCAACCACCAAGCTGTCATAGATGTGTCCTATCACCCTCTGGGCCAGGCCTGCATGTTTTTCCGGTTCCTGGGAGATGTGGGTAAGTATCTGGGTGAAAGTGTAGCCACCGATAGAGGCCGAGTGGACCAGCACCGGCCTGTCTAAGAACTGAGGCTCCTCTAACACCTTTAAAACTTCTGACCCATATTCAAGCCCCCATCGAGGCCACAGGAAGTGCATGACACTGCTCTGGACCAGGAGGACATCCATGCCTCGCTGCAGGTAGAGGTCCCTGTATTTGGCCACAGCCCCCGGCTGGGCACCGAGCCAGGAGAAGAACAGAAGAAGGGGACGGGGAGAGGCCGCAGATTCTGATCGGTCATGGGAGGAAACAGGTGTGTGTGAAGGTGAATCTGAGAGCAGCGGAGAGGACGATGGCTCTTGGTGGGGGGACATGCTGAGGGGTGAGGTGGGGGAAAGGACAGGGGAGGTATGAGAGTCTTTGTTAGGGCATCTCTTAACTTCTCCCCCTGAAGAGGCAGCATAGTAATAAGTTATGCGGCTTCTGATTCTGCGAGTTGCAAACATCCCTCCATTTATGTCATTTACTGATGTGGTCAAATCAGGCCTGAAGATGCTGGAACAAAAGAAAAAACAAATGTCAGATAAAACAAGTCGTCATTCTCATGATCTTACAGAGGATTAACATGGACAGTGATGATAACCAAGGAATTCATGACACTTCCTCTTAGAGCCAAAATGGCTTTGGTGTTGCAGGTATTTTTAGATTTCACAGTATCAGTGGGGTAGGGTGGGGTAAGATGAGCCATTTTTCATATTTCAGATCACTACATCAAGGCGATCACAGTTTTGTCTCCAACTAGTGTATCTGCATATATTTCAAGATGTTGTGCATCCCTGCAAACCAACAGAATGAGTGTAAACATAACTGTCTTGGTAATATAGCTAAAAAAAAGTGGTCTCCTATGGTCAACTTACCCCGTGTATGGGGTAAGTTGACCATAGGAGCAGGGTAAGTTGAGCCGTATTCTTCATATTCATGTGTATTTTTATCTATTATACACTATTTAACTGGTACAATAATGATTTTTATTATTATTGCATTTTAAAAAAGAAAAAGTAACACATTTCAACAACCTAAACTGAAACTCTGATCCTCTCGTCAGACTCCTTTACTTTCTCAGTTGAGTCACTTGCTCAACTTACCCCAGAACTACTGTTATCACTTTATTAGTCCTCTAAGCTAAAATGGTGGACTTTTATGCTAGGTTTTTGACCTCATGTTTTAGCTCATAGATACCACAATCGATGTATAGAACAAATTTAAAATTATATTTTTTTGGTCTGAAGACAGTTCTACTAAAACTCATGACAGACTAAATTCACTTTCAAGAGTGAAAAATGTTTTTTTTTTTTTTTAATAAATGTCTAACTCCTTCACCCATGTGCTTTCTAACCTTCACTGACTCCATGAATTGATGCCCATTTTCTAAATATGCGGTCATATGATCAATTTCTTTTAACATTTCCAAGCAACATGGGGTGGCTCAACTTACCCCACTCTCCCCTACATTGAATTAAAGACAGATATGTCCTATGAAATCTATTTTTTGTGAAATCAAATAGGGACCCTATAAAATTATGATTTTCCTCAGTAACAACGATGTAACAGGAATATTCAATTACCATACCTTCAAGACAAAGATTTTTTTAAATAAATAAATAATTCTCGCTTATGGAAAAATTCAAGACCATAATAACAAGCATGTTGCGGCAGGAAAAAAAAAACGAGTGTCCCTTTAAATTGTGATTACCGTCAAACCACACCGTTGCCGGCTCTCTGGGGGATGACGCACAGCATCACACAACCTTTTTTCGTGTTAATTCAAGTTCCCTGGGACACGTTACACCCACCAACACACCCCGCTACATGACAGCTCAGACATCATCTTTTTACCCGGTGGTGAACAGCAGGTTTCCCATTCCGCGAGGCCGGTCGTGCGGGGGAGCCCCAGGCCTCTGAGAAGGAGTCTCCGAAAAGGTCGATAAAATCTGCTGTCGCGGTGTCGGCTTCCCTCAGCAGCAGCAGCAGCAACTTCGCCGTCCTCTTCTTCTTCGGGGACTTTTTCTGTACGTGGCACTAGGACAACGAAATGGAGACTTAGCGCCCTCTTCAGACATGGAAAAGGAACCAGTAGCCCATTTGGCCTCTGTGAACAAAGTGATATCTCCTCCAATCAATCAATCAGTCTTTGTTTATATAGCACTTTTCATACACAACCATGCTTTACACAGAAAAAGGGATAAAAGACACTAAGAATATCCAAATCTACCCCGACCCAACCCCTCATTCTCACCCACGATCCAAATGCAACAGAAACAGTATTAAAATGCATAAACTTAAAAGGGGCTTGATTTGGTGGTTTGGGTTAAAATCAAAAACAAAGAAACATAAAATGAAAGTTAAGAAATAATAAATAAAATGAAATAAAAATAACAGTTAAAGATACTAAAATAAGAGCACCGAAATAGCTCAATAAAAGACAATCCTGTCATTAAAACTAGAAGAGATAAATCTGATAAATCTATAATCTCTTGTTTCATGAATGAAAGCATTTTTTTCCAGATAAAAAAATAAAATACTCATTCTGTTTTCTTCAAAGAATGAATATCAAAATGAATATTTGCAGGAGAAACTGTCACAATTAAGTATTTTTTCACCGTTCCTACCACCTCCAAGCAGTTTTTCAACATTAAAAATTAACAGTGTTGTTACTAGCCAGAGCCGGCCAAAGCCTCAACAGGGCCCTAAGCAAAATTTGCAATAAAATTGATTGTTGATCATTCACACACCTTCACAAATCTCTTTAACATGTAACATGACATGCAAACATACCTTTATCTTGGCTGGGTTTTTTTCTCTTCTTCTTCCTCTTTCTTTTCTCTGCTCCTGAAGGATATGTCCTTTTTTGCGACATTGTTTTGCACTTTGGATGCTCAGTGCACATTGCACAGCAGAAGGCACAAAACGGTAGCAGAGCTTTGACATATCGGCAGAAAGGATCATAGGCCTACATCAGCAGCAGCTCTAAAAACTTTTACTTTATTTTATTTTTACAACAATATATAGCACTTAGTTCGTTTATGCCTTGGACCGGCTCTGCTCTTATCTCTTCTTTTATTTTTGCATTTTTTAAAATTATTATTCTGTTTTCTTCAAAGAGTGAATGTCACAGTGAATATTTGCAGCTGAAGATGTCACAATAAAGTATTTTTTCACTGTTCCTACCACAGTATCGCAGTTTTCTATCGCAAATTGTGGTTTGTTTGAGGTTTATTCATATAAGGTTATTTAATGATACAGAACGGATTAAAGAGAACATACACACTTTCCAGTTGAATCAGAATATGAATTTGCACTATTCACGCATCATGCTCACATCACCATGGCACCATCCACCATTAGAAGTGAGAAAGTTGGCAACCCTATGCCCACCTGACTTCCTGACACAGACTTGATGTTAGCTACAATGTGGACTTAGCTAGCTAGCTGACACAAGCCTCAAATCAGAGCTATTAACTTTTTAATAAAAGTTTAATTTCAACACGGATCGTCGCCTTTTGACTTTTAACGGAAAAACAAGATGCACATGGAAAATTTATCCCACCCATAAAAACCACAAAATGTCTTCTTGACTCATTGTTTTGTCTGCTATAAAAGACCATGGCGTGAGAATAAATTCCTGGAAAAGTATATGCAATCATCTAAGATTCTTTTTCAGTAATTCCAGAACTTTAAAGTCGTCATAATGGGCTACAATTACACTATTCTTGTAATGCTACAATTTGAATCTCTCAAGCATTACTCTTGTAACACTATGACTAAATCTGTAAAAACTATTTTTTTAAGAAGTCGCCTCAACACTTCCTTCTTAACAGTTTTACTGTAAACCCTCTGTTGCAGCTGAAACCAAGTTAATCAGGCTGTGCTATTTTTAGCTCAACAGACCTTGTGACTGTGACGAGAGCTCAGTCAGATCACGACACTGACCCGCCTTTTCATCACACATGAAAATATCAGAGGGTCATGGGGTCTTGTGGTCTTCTGGCCTACTTATCAAATACCTGCAAGACATTTACAGGCCACAAGATGGAGCCAGACTCTTACATGGCCAAGACAAAGGAATGTTCCTGTTATTTTCTATGTGTTTTCATTGCTGAGTGCAGTCAACTTCATGATTACCAAAAGTCTACTTGTTCTGTCTGTAGTTTCACAGATAACTTGTAATTCAGTTTGAGGCATTTCGTGTTATTACACTCTTGTATTGGCACTTATGTGTGTTTGGACACAGCTGGTTGGAAAGCACCAGTTTACAGACGATGTGGTTCAGGGTTTTAAATTCTAATCATACATTTGACATGTTTTGGGTTTTTCTTTAATGCTGTTTTATATTTCTTCAAAACCACTGGCACCAGTATCACCTCATCTCAGTGCTGTAAAAGTGAGCTGTGGTTGTCAAAACAGTTTTTTGTAGGTGACTGCTCAGTGTTGTGATCAGGTCTTTCCATTCTTTCACTTGCACAGGCAGCAGAGGCAATTTTAGGTCATCACAGCCTTTTTTTTCTGTCTTTCACTCCCTGGATGAAATATTTTCCACAGTAGTTTGTACCTTAACACACCAACACACCCTGACACATGTACACACGCTAGCTTGTATTTTCCAGCATGTCTGTTCCGTGTCTGACCTTCAGCACTGGTGCAGGAAGCAATCAGTCTTAAACAAATATAAGTCTTTTTTGGAAACATGGTAAGAAAAACTCAGAAATACAGTTCCATAAAAACATGTTTTTGATGTTTTGGATCAGTGGATCAAATACTCAATCTTGTAGCTGATGGTTTTGTTTGCTTATCCTGTAAAAGCATTAATATGAATTTTAGTCTATTTGTTAAACATGAAAAAAACTCCTTATCGATGCTTTAATCAACATGAGTATAATATCAACTTATCTATTGGCTTCAGCCGACTTCTTCTGAATCTGTGCTAAATGCCTTGCTTGTTGCTAACCTCGGTTATATTTCAGAGCTGGTTTAAATAGTGGTTTAAATCTAGTTACTTAACTACAAACTGACTTCATTTAGCTAAACCTTGAAGTCAAAACAACAAACACAAAACTTGGTACTGAAAAGTTATTATCAGTTTAGCCTAGGACTGGGTGATAAAACGATAACTATATATATCGAAAATTTATTTCCCTCAATATCAATATAAAACATGGTCAATATGCTTTTCATAGTCTACCTAAACATTCTGCCATGTTTAGGTAGACTATACAAATAGCCAATGAAAAGGGGAGTTGCTCCAGGTCCGTACCGCGCTAAACCAATCATATGCTTAATTAGAACCAATTAGCAAACAACTGCTTCGTAGCAGGCTGCAGCTACAGACAACCACAACTCTTTAACACGTGAAGTCGACAGTGCTGTTGGTGGAAAAAAAAAGAAAATGAGTGCTACCCCAGGCAGAAATGCAGATGAAAGCTCAACAGATGACGACATCGTCGACAACTCTGGCTCGAAAACGTCAGTGGTGTAAAGGTATTTTGGTTTTCTGAGGCCGGACATGAAGCAGAATCGTGTGCACTACAAATTATGTCGAGTACACGCTCCCGCAGAGTCAGGGAATACCTCAAATCTTTTTCACCACCTGAAGCAGCACCACACGGCAGAGCACGCACAATGCAAAAGTTTAGAGACCCCAAGTGTAGCAAGTGTGAAGAAGCCCTTGGCGCCTGTGCAGCCGAAACAGACGACCATTCAGTCCGCTTTCTCTAGCGCAATGCCTTACGACAAAACGTCAATGAGATACAAAGACCTCACAGATGCAGCAGCTAATTGTATTGCAAAAGACATACTACCAATAAGCACTGTTAAATTTCATTTAAGAATAACAGGAACCATCTAAGATTGACAAGTGATTTTTTTTAATATCGTGATATATACTGATATTGACTGATATAAAAAGAAATATGTTGTAGTTAACTTTTTCCCATCTCGCCCAGCCCTAGTTCAGCCTTTATGTTAATTGACTGGCTGAGGATTTCAGCCTGTGTGCTAGCTCATGTGTGTGTGTGTGTGTGTGTGTGTGTGTGTGTGTGTGTGTGTGTGTGTGTGTGTGTGTGTGTCTGAGATTCTCTTTGCCTGGCTCAGCATGATCACTTTCAGGTTCAGTCAGGCAGAAAAATGCTCGAGTCCCACAAAAACATAACCCTCAGCCTCTTGGCCATGTGGCCGTGTTATCCCCAACACTGGCTGCCCCTCCCTACCATCCCTTTACCCCCACTTTACATCCAACTATTGAACAGCCCCCCTCATCCCTGATTCTCTATACACCCCCCTCATCAAAACTCTCCCTCACAGGAAAAGAAAGCCTCCATCACTCTGACCACCCATGGCCCTCTTACCCCTCTCTCCCTCTCAGAGCCTCAGACCACCCCCTCATTTCTGCCGCTCAAAACCCCTGGCCTTTCCCTTTGGCATTGTTTCACCCTGGCCCCTATTGTCTGGGCAGAAAGAGAAAGTTGAGAGAGAGAGGGAGGCAGGGGGAGAAAAGAGGGGAGGAGTTTCTCCTCGCACATCAGGGTGTGGAAATTCCGTTACAGCTTCCTGCCTTTTTCCTCGTTTTTCCCTTTGACCTCTCTCGACCATTGTATACTGTATTTTTCCCCTGGCATCATGTGCCTCTCTAACTTCATGCATATGGGGGAAGTACACTGAGCATGTCTGATGAGCTAAGTTACGCAAGATTTACCTTTTTCTTGAGTTTGTAGGAGCAAAAGTAAGATAATCATGTGAGGCTAAATATAGGCGCTTGGAAACCATTTAAATTGCATATAAGCCTAGCAACAGGCGGACAGGGGAATTATAACTGTTACCAACTGCAGGAAACATGAGACAATTTGCAATTTCATGATGAATCATGTTTTGAATGTGTAGAAAATTATCAATCAACCATGAGTAAAACAGTCTGGAGATTATCTTTTTACCATCACGTTAAAGGGATATTCCGGCGTAAAACTAATTTAGGGTGAAACACACTGTAACACTGAGTTAGACACTAGTGGTGGGCAAAACCGGTCATTTCAGTGAACCGGATCATTCCG